CGGCAAGCTGAAACTCTGATGCTGTCCTGTCGTCTGTGCAGTGAAGGATGGACTTGGCGGACATTTTGTTGGGACTTGCAGTGTGGCGCATAATTTGAGAGGCAATCCTGCCCGTTTCATGTTCTTTTACCACCTCCACTGGCCTCCCATTCTCTAGTCCACCTTGTGTGAGTCAGTTCTGCGGGCGATGATGGGATTCTCAAAGAGTTTGTGTCTTGTCTCAAGAATCGTTCTGAATGTGTTGACCAGAATACGAAGGGACTGATTAGACTGTCTACTCCCTTCTCCACCCTCCCACCCCCCGAGACTCAGAGCAGCATAATTTGCATATTTTATTTTCTTCCATTAGCAAAAGGGATTTATATAGATTACAGAAATATAAGTAAGCACTGTATATCGGGTGCATATTTGTCACACATCCAGGTAATGACTAGGCGGTAAAGACGGTGATGCAGGTGAGGGCCAGACGGTCAGTTGCCTTATCCAGTTTCATCCTGGGATGAAACTCAGGTTTTCACATTTACTAAAAAAAGAAAAGGAAGCGTATTAGTTGAAGAGCTATATATTGCTGCAACTTAATATGGATGTATAAACTTTCACAGACCACAGAGGACAGTTATATAATGAGAAAAACAAGGATTGTTGAGTCCCAGAGCCCTTACACTCAACTTCAATTACTCCTCCAGTCATTAAGTTAATTAGGACATCTCTTGGCTTAATGAGACCCAACAGGCTGCGACTGTGCGCATTCACAAACAAAATACAGATAAGCATCTGCTTGAACTGACGTGAAAAGGCAAATAATCATTTAACTGACTGAACCTTGCGCTTATATTTAAATATGCAGTACTGCAAAAAACAAATTCTAGTCCCTTCCTTTATACAAGTCACTAATAAGTAATAATCACTGATCTGTTATCAGAATCCCTTTATTTGCCAAGTTCAATAAATGTACAATTATTTGTCTTGTGAGCATGTCAACATCTCACACACTGACATACATTATATATAAGTATACATATGGTACAGGGGCAACAAGACATTTTATACAAACAAACAGGGCAAAGTGTACAACAGACAGCAGACTACACATATCACTCTACAGATAAACACACAGCAATCTGAGGCATGCAGTCGGTTACAGCTGGAGGCTGGAGGCCACCCGTGCAAATGGAAAAACATGTCATAAAATGTAGATTTGGCGGATGCAAATGTGATTAATATGTTCTGATCTCTGTGTAGCATTGACGTAGTTCCTAAGGCTAAAGTGCTGCAGTGTGTAAAGACTTGTGCAGGCCTTGTAACTAGTGCAATATTATGCAAACATGGATGCTAATAATATTAGTGATTACAGTCAGATTATACTAACAGGGATAAATATTATATTGTGATGGAATACACAGTGACAGTTAGCAGGTTTAGCAGGTGGGTCCAGGAGGATCAGGATTTAAGAAAAACAAAAAGAGGAGTTCAGGGGACAACTACACAGGGGGTATAAAGGGTGAGGTTAAGGTTTAAAGGTCAGATTTGGGACACTCACTGGCCAGGTTGACAATGCAGGCGATGATAATGATCGTCCCTCCTACTAGTGACACCATGGAGAGCATCTTGGCCACACGTCCCAGACGCACGGCACCATCCAGGTTTCCCTGCTCGAGACTGTTCTTAGACTGAAGGAGGAGATTGAAGCAACGGTTAGTTTGGGTTACATATTAAAAAAAGACTGTAAACAAAGTCGCTTTATAGAACTGCTGCTAGGAAATATGTTCTTACCATGATGGAGTAGACAAATCCCACGATGTTGATTGGCCAGACGGGGCAGAAGCAGGCCAGCACGGACAGGAGGAGGTAGTCTTTAACTTTGGTCCGGTCCAAGGGCGGGTTGGTGGCGATGCTGGAGTGGCGAGAAAGCGACGGCCTGGGCGAGAAGGCGGTGTAGCCGATGGAGCTCGCCCTGCTCCCTTTCCTGGTCTTGCCGTGATGGGGGTAAGAGATGGAGTGCTGTCTTCTGGGAGGAGAGGAGATGACCGGGGAGGTGCTCTCGGAGGTTGTGGAGTGGATCCCGTTACCTACACATAAGGGACAAAAAGGACAGGGCAAATGTTTGAAACACTGGAAGAGGTAAGTGTGTGCGTGCTCTCCCAGGAGCGCTTTGGTGCGCTGGAATCTGGCTTGCCCTGAGTGAGCTGACTCAGCAGCTGTATGACCCCCCCCTCCCTCCCTCCCTCTCCACCCACCCTGCTGCTGCTTTAATATGAGGTCAAACACAGTCACTTACTGTTCTTCAGCTTCTCGTTGATGACTATGACTAGCTCTCCTTTAGATTTGCTGCGGGGGGGCCTTGTGCTGGCCGGGCTGCTGCTGCTGCTGTGGATGAGTTGTTCACCTCTGACGGGTAGGCATGGCTCGGAGACGGGGGCTTGGTCCGACAGAGAGCCCTCCTGGTCCAGCAATGATGGTTGTTCCTCCCCTGGCCAAATGGCGGGACATGGCATCATGTTCACAGCCATGCTGACAGCAGAATGAAGCCTCTGTTTGTGGTCCGGTCCTGTGTGTGCTGCCTGTAGTTACACCTGGGGGCCAGAAAATGGTTTTAACCATCTTGGTAAACAGAAGCTGCTCCCTCCCATCTGCTTAGGGACTGTAGATAAATTATTGGGGCGTGTTTAAAAGGAAGAGGATTGTGTATTTATTTTGTTTGCTGAGGTGAGGGCATGCTAAGATTATTGGGACTGCAGGGGAGAAAGTTAGATTTTATTATTTTATTTAATTCTAACGAAACTTTAAAAAAAGATCAAATTGCATTCCTTGCATTTTGCACTATGAGGACAACAATCGTGTCTTGATCAGAGGTTAATTTACCTCTTCACGATCAATGTCAGCTTCAGCATTATTAGTGATTTAACTTTATATTTCTAGATTAAGTTATATCTGACTGGCCTACAGTAGCTCCTACCTTCACTTTATTCTGCATTTTAATAGAAAGCAGTTAAATAGGCTACATCTAAATGTTAAAAAATAAAGAACAGATTCAATATTTCGTAAATACAGCATTTTATTGTTTTGTTTTCTGTTTGTTATTGTTAGCAATTGCTAATTCTATTCCTTTTTGGGTGCTATGTTAAAATGTTTAATCCATTAAATGGGAATTCCACTGATTTTACAAATCAAAGTCTGTTTACAGGTCTTGGAGACCACTTCTCTGACTCCAGAGGGAGATGCAAGAAATCAAAATTAGCCACTACTAGTATAACACACTAAAACAAACAGACTAAACTGTGGCAGCAGCAGGAGATTTGTTTTCATTAATGGTAATGTAGGTGCCAGGTGGTTTCAAACTGTCCATTGTGGGTCAGACAGTGGAGTATTATTAAGGTTTAGATAAGAAAACACCATCTGAAATGATTTGTTTATTGATGGTAAAATGCTTCTACCAATTCAGTAGCCAATTAGAGATTTTGGGTGGAGGGTGTTGCATTTTTTGAGTCAAGGGGAGGTCCAATTCTGGGCTTCTCACTCAAGTAACTTTAACACAGCCCCTAAATACAGTCTGCTTTTAGCTGATTTAGAGTTTCACTCTAAATATCCTGATAAACCTTTGAATAATCCACTCTGCCTTCAGATACCATTTAAAATCCCTTTTTTAAATATATATATATTCAAACCCTCCTTATGTCACCATGAATTGTAAATAAAGACTCAAGGTAAACAGATCAAAACAAACGCATGTCACGCTGTAAATGTTAAGGCCTCAAAAGCTCATTAAAATAGCCCTCTGGTTAAATCAGGTAATATCGGGTATCAGGAAAATTTTTTTAAAAAAGCAGGTCACAATGACACGAGGAGTACAAAGGCATGGCAGATGGAGGCAGGTTCCTTTGAAACGATAGTAGCGGCCATGGTCTCAGTGCAGGTGAGTACATACCATTATTTCATCATGTGTACACAGGCGCTAAATGGCATACGGTGGCCGGTTGTTGGGCACGGAACAAAAGGTAAAAAAGGACAGAGCTGAAAAAGGATGGGGACAAAGGAAAAATACTCGGATAGACGAGTGGAGGAGGAGGAGATGGAGGAAGAAGGGGGGGTGCTTATTAATTAGCCTGCTGCTGCTGATTTGAATTCAGTGGATGTGGGCTGCTACATTGCAATAAGCAGGGGAAAAAAAACCATGCAGCTTGTATTAAATGCTTGCATCTAAAGCAAAAGTATAGCTGAATACAAATAACTGACGGCCTGATTTAGCGTTTTACACCAACACACATAGGGAAGGAGGGAAAACATGGCTATGAAGATAAAATCAAACTGACCTTTTTTAATCCTGTCTCAACACAGCCGGAGAGTGCCTGGCTCTGGCATCGTGGTAACGTTATTCTCAGGTGCAGAATATATGAGCATCAGAAGCGAGCAAACATCTCTACAGCCCACAGTGTGTTGGCAGACGTGCGCTGTTTTCCTCTAAAAAAAGAAAATCCGAGAATATCCTACACGAAGAGCTGCTGAGACGGTGTTGTTGTAGCGCCTTGTTCCAGCGCAGTGTGCTGGGATGGATGGATGGGGAGTCTCCTGGATGGCAGGGTGGATCAGAGAGGAGGGGTATATGTGTGTGTGTGTGTGTGTGTGTGTGTGTGTGTGTGTGTGAGAAATGAAAAGTGAAATCAAGCAGACTACGTGATGTAGGAGAAGGGAGGGAGGGAAGGCTTGATTATAGCTTCGTCCTCTCCTCACCCACTACAAAAAAAACCCAAAACAAAAACCAGTTTGACACTGAATATTTCTCCAGTGGTGCTGCACAACAGCAGTCTGTGATGAAGGGTGTCCTCCTGTCTCTGCCTCAGAGGACAAGAGTTCACATAATGAGCTAAATTAGGTTTTTCAAACCGGAAACAGGATGACTACCCCCCCAGAAAGGGTGATTGATCTAAGAGACGGTTCAGGGACATATGTGAAAGCCAGCATCAGATGTATTTAGGATCATGAAATAAACACAAACACTCAACGACATGTGAGCATTTTATTAAAAGCAACAGTGCGCCATCAGCTGGAACACAGTAGTAACTACAAAAATATCATAAAATCAAGCAAAAAACAAAAAAAGACAAACGCTTTAAGATAGAAATTATATACATTAGACATGAGCATGGATGAAAAAAAAACAAAAAAAAAAAAACAATAAAATCATTTCCCCATGGCACTAAGGATGTTTGCCTGAAAAAGAAAAAAAAAAAGAAACATTAACAGCAATATAACAGATTATCAGATATAATATAGTAATAGTACTTTTAATCAAGAAAATGCATTTATTATACAACACAAGGTTGTACGACAAAATTAATGTTTTCAGTCCTTTCATGCTACACAGAACAGTTAATGTATTACTGTTAGAATTAATTTATTCCTAATGTATAACAAAATGAATATATCAAATTAATAATGTGAACTAGAGTTTGCAACCACACTAGCAGCTTTGTGAGATTGTACTGACACACAGTGGAGCTTTAAGCTGAATGCTAACATGCTGATGATACGCAGCTGCAATGTTTACTATCTGTGGAGGAGATGTATGTCTGGACCAAATTTCACAGCAAACTATCCAACAGGAAAGCAAAAGTGGTGGAACAACTGAGTGACCAACAAGGCCAGTTATAGAGCTGAGTCACCAACATGGCTACAAAACCCCCCCCAAATATTTCACTTTAGACTCTGCTTACCTTCATGAAGGAGGAAAATCTCTTTTCTGACATACCCTCAACTTTTCCCAGATCTTCCAACTGCAAAACAAACCATACATAAATTCACCACAAGTAAACAAAAATCTACACCTGTCAAACACCGAAGTCAGAAAAACACTTCAGACAAGGTGTTGCGGTACTTGATAGAACAAGTTCTACGCCCGACGCTTGCCCTACCAACCTTTGTGAAGTGACCGTGGAGCTCTCTCCAGCCCAGGATGAGCTTTGCCTTCTTGTCGCCGATCTGCTGCAGACCCTTCAGGTCTTTGAGGGAGCCGGTATTGAGAACCTGCAGGATTTTCTGTCTGGACTGCTCCAGCACCGACGTATCCAGCTGGAACTCCCAGCCATTCTCCATTAGGTTCTCTTTACCATCTGGAGGCTGAGAGAGAGGACAGATAAAGACATTATAAAAGACTGCATACACAATTGGCATTTTACACAATTACACAAAAACGTACAGTGCATGAAAATCCATTTTTAACTGTCAACATTAATTTGTCTATATTGGTCTGGAAAGGAGGTTAATTTTGACCTAATATATTTGAGATCTTGCAGCGTCTGTCGAGTCAAAAAAACAAATTGAAGCTAATGCACTACGTCAGCTTGTTTCTGATGCTTGCAATTCTGCAGATGTGTCAAGCTAAGCACAGCACAGTCAAAGCTTGGATGCTGACCTCAACCTGGTCTGAAAGCTTCCTCCCTTTCTTCTTGACGCAGACTGACTGTTTCTTGACCACTGCAAGCTGCTGAAGAGGCTGGAGCTGCGACACTGATGGGGAGGAAACCACATATACAAAATTAATGTTCAATGCTCCACAACCAAACAGTCTATTAAAAATGAAAATATACTCAGGAAAGAAAATCAGGCCATTTTGCATTGAAACAATATAAATTTTGTATTGTGTGTGGTATAGTGCAGTTTTTTTCAAATGCATGAGACCGGTAACACTCTCCGAGCTGCTGAGGGGTGTAAAAATAATTCCTCCTCATCGTCATTTGATACATTCTCTGGCTGCTGAATTGTAGACTGAGCTCTTGTATCACATTGCAGCTCATCAATAGCTCCAGTGGTTCAACATGACAAAAATTAGTGACCGACATTAACAATAGAGGATAACACGATACAAAAGAAACGTTTCAAGGTCTTTTTTTTTTTTTTTTTTTTTTAATACAGCACCATTCAAGGGTGATTTAAAGTCAGTTGATATGTCTACAGTAAATATTCTGGTTCTTTGCATCATTTACTATTAGAAGATGTAAATAAGAAAGCAAAATCTATATAAATTAATTTAGTTTCAGTCCCATCTTTAGTTTCTAACTGACCTTGTAGGGGTTGGACCACAGCCTGCTGCTTATTTGGTTTGGTGGCAGTTGACGGTTTTCTGTGCAGAGGAGCCGTATTGTTTTTGAAAGCAGGCTCCTGTTTGGCACTGGACTTTTCTCCAGTCAAGAGACTGAATTGCATGGCCTTGCTCTCAAATTCCTTCTGCTTCTCTTTGAGCTCCTGCGCAAACAAGAAGAGCAGCAAGGTTGGCTATCAAATATCCATGAAGAAGAGTTGATCGATCGGTATAAAAGATCCGACAGGATCAGCATCTAGTAAATCTCGTACAGACAGAAGGTTGGCCAGGTGGAGATTTGAATGATCACAACCTATATTGCATGCAGGGTTACACTTCCGTGGTGGATAAACTTAAGTTCTAAATTAGGTGTGTTTTATCACCTGGATCTCCTTGCGAGACTGGGCCACATCTTTCAGCATCCCAAGTCTATCTTTGTCCTGGCAATTCATCATCAGCTTCTCCAGAGCTATTAGTCTGTCCATTACCGACGGCTCTGACAGACTGAAAGAGACAAACAAATCAACAATTGGGGGGGGCAGTATGGTCAGGGGCTTTGAACTACACTCAGAAGTCATTAGGTTATCACAAGTTGCCAAAATTCATAGCCCGGACAAATCATCTAAATAACAGATGGCAAGAAAGCAATGCTTGTGTCTCTCCCAAAGAGCTCCCAGTAGACACAGCAACTGTAGCCAATGGGAGCACTGCAGACAGAGTTGCTTTCAGTACAAGCTATACGATCTTGGCCCACACTGCTTTGAGGCTTTGGTTTAAGTTGTATGGATTCAATTTGATGTGGTAGCTTTGGGCAGATGCACTGGCATTATCTTCACAGTCAAGGATCTAAGTTCCTGTATGATTGGCCAGAGGTGGTCTTTTACCTGTTAAAATGTGCAGAGGGTGAAGAACCATCTTGTTCAGTTTTCCTCTCATCTTTCTGCCTCTTCTTCTGTGGCTCAGTGCCAGACCCCCGTGCCTCATGGTCTTCTCTGGCCCGCTTCACTGGAGATGAAGGCAGAAGGGAAATTAACAGTTTAGTATTCAGTGCACTGAAGCAACACTGTTTGTGGGGTTCTCCAGAGTATAAAGCAATTCAGATGAAGATGGCACAGCATCAGTCAAGGCTGCATTGCAGTGCCAGAACAGCATCAGGGATGTATTTAAGACAAAGCTATAGAAAAGAAAAAGTAAACATACCATAATAGTTAACTTTTACATTTTAACAAGACATCCATCGTGTCCAGAGACACTTGGCTGGTTACTCTTAGTCATAATCCTCTGGGATGTGACTTGGGTGCCCCCTATTGGCCTCAGATCTAATCTTGTCAGAGCTTCCTCTTCGCTGCCTGTTCAGTTTCTTTCTATACTTACAAGTCTTCAGAATGAAAAAGAATGGAACATTTACTTCTTACTTAGCTTAACTTACCTGGCAGTATGGGCACGGCCACAGTTTCACGAGTGAAAGGTTTGTTCACAATGAGCTTGGATTTGGCAGCAAAGTTGAGTGCGCTGAAGGTGTCAAAATAGTATTTGTACTCTGGCGCAATATTGGTAATCATGACGGAGTGCGCCGAGCCACCCAGAGAGTCCTGTAGCAGCCGTGTCAGTTTACTGTCTCTGTACGGCACGCGGACAGCAGTGCCAGAGTTAAGAGAGTCCACCACTTTGCTGAGAGTGAACAGAGACAGGTTGATGGCACCGCTCTCCTTCAGACGGATGCCCTGGTTGCCCGTGCGGCGGTTGTCCTCAGACCCAGCCAAGTCGACCAAGTACAGCTTTCCTGTCTGTTGTCTGTGGGGAAGGGCCCGCTGCGTCCGCACAACCTATATCATTGAAAAGATAAAGATTTAAGAGAACAGGCAATGACAGAGGTCAGACAGGATGGGAAGGGAAAGAGATACATTTATGATAAATGTGATACATTCTGTATACAACACAGGAAGCAAGAATGCAGAAAAGGGACAAATTTAGTAAAAAAAAAAAAAAAAGGACAGCAGACAGTTTGTTTCTCTCCCAGAATTGTCCCAGAAAGCACAGATGTTGCTAATGGGTGTGTTGCAGGAGAGAAGTGATTTCAGCACCAGCTACCAAATCCTGGCCTACTGCTCAGAGGCCACGACCTGTTTAAGATGCTATTTGACTGTCTGGACAGCCACACACAGATAAGATCAATAAAAATAAATAAAAATACAGAGGAACTCTCAAAGAATTATAAGTGAACATCCCCCGAGGCGATAAGATTATGTATTAAACCTTGAGGAGGAGGACTGCGTGGCTGCGGCTGGAGCGCTGATTTAGTTTGGTAGAAGCTGTCGTACGATTGAGGCTGGCGGGCACAAAGTGTTTGTCAAAGTCTGAGAAGGAGGAGATGCTTGTGTGTGTGAGGCCAGGAATCAGGATGTTCTTGTCCTTGTCCTCCCTGATCGGCAAATCATGGGAGTTTGGCGATAGAAGATCGAGCACCTGAGAGAAAGAAGGAAAGCATTGATTGCAAAATGTCAATCATACCAACCAAGCATGCCTTAAAAACAGCAAAGAAACTATTACAACCAGACAATTAGACAACTAACAATCAAGAAGCACAGATGTGGTTAGAGACAGCTTTTGATTTTTCAAGGTTTTTTTTAGAGCAGAGTGATATGGTCTCAGGTATGCAGGTATATGAGCAGTCAAGTTGAGGAACTCTGTGTACATAAGTGTTTTTGATGGACTGTTAGTGTTTTGACAACTGAAAAGGGGACGGTTGGGATGGAGACCTGTTTTGCCTATGTCATTTACATGACCTATGTTTGGTTTCCATTAGAAAATAAAAAGGGGCTTTATGAGTGTTTATTTGGAATATTCAAATAAGTTATTTCCTCCCAAAATCAATACAAAAAAATCCAGGTGCTAGTCAGATGTATTTTCCATTTGAAACATTCAGCCAACCAATTTCTTAACAACTAATTCTCTAATTTTAAGCTGATATTATGTTGCACAGAGAACTGTTAACACTGACATATGACAGTCATTTCTCTATTAGTAACATAAATGTCAGAAGTAGATGTTAACAGAATGGGCTCAACTACTGTCAACAACCTTATTTTACTTATGCACATTTAATATTTAATTCATACCTTCTCATTGTAAATTTCCAAATAAGACATGCCAATGCTGTAGTCCCACCCCTCATCCTCAGCTTTGACCAAATTGAAGACCTCGCGAACAGCTCGGGGGATCACGCCTGGCTCCTCTGAACCACCCAACATGGTGTGCGTCTTACCTATGAGAGAGGGCGTAGTGAGTTTGCAGGTAGAAAATGCATGATGGAAACATGAGGACGAGAGAGAAATGAAAATTCAGATGAAGCAGCAAACAAGACATACATTTATGATACAACACAGGTAGGTGTACACAGTAAGAATACAGAAAAAGGACAAATTTAGTAAAAAAAATAAAAATTAAAAAAAAAAGGAGGACAGCAGACACCATTTGTTTCTCTCCCAGAATAGTCCCAGAAAGCAAAGAGGTTGCTAATGGGAGTGTTGCAGGATAGAATTGATTTCAGCACCAGCTACCAAATCCTGGCCTACTGCTCAGAGACCACGACCTGTTTAAGATGCTATTTGACTGTCCACTTGACACCCATACGCAGACCAGTTCAGTGACAAAAACAGAGCAACTCTCCAAGAGAATTAGAAAATTCATGTAGGAAATGAAGCAATTTATATACAAAAAAAAGGAGTGAACTTTAAGAGCAAATTGACTCAACAAAAAAATACAATAAAGAGGTCACGAAGAGTGCTGAACAGGAGACATGTTTAGTGAATATCGGGAGACAGAATCACCATCTTCGTGCAATCAAGTACAAGTCAACAAATGCAATATTGCCACAACATACCGGCTCCTGTGGGTCCATAGGCAAAGACACTGGCATTCTGTCCGTTCAATATGTGTGGTAAAATGGGCTTCACTGATGAGAGGAAAACCTCTTGCTGTGTCGTTTGCTCACCATGAAAAGCATCAAAGCTGAAACAACATCAATAGCACTCTTAGAATTTAGAGTTGGACAACAATTAAAAAAAAAAAAAAAGGTATAAAACAATATAATAATTAAACAGTTGAGTCATGCTGAAGACACTGACTGGTATTTGACTGATTCTGTGGCATTTCTCCAGTTCACTATTTCCACGTTTTGTGAGTCCAGGCCTCTGACACACGGTCCCTCGTCTTTCTCATCTTGTTTGCCCATACAGGGTCGCAGACGAACCGCTACCCGAACCCTGCTCGTCTTCTTGTGGTTTCCTCCATCTGGTAGCGCCACACGTTGAGCCATCTTCGGGCTCTTAAAAACAAAAAGGCCTACCACAATAACACAAGCTAAATTAGCCAAGCATAGTTTACGTACACAGTTTTTCTACCCTGTCAAAAAAAAAAAAAAAAAAGGCATATTAACAAACAGACTTAGATTTAAATTAATTGCATATCCCGCTTAAAGCCCTGTACATGTAGACAAATGTTTACTTTCTAACTCTGGCTTTAGATTAGCTAACTTATATTACGTGGCTCTCGCTTCTCAAACTAACGTTAGCCTAGCAAAGATCCGTTCCTCCGTTACCGAGCGCATTACTAATGTCTCCTTAGTGCTTACCGATATTACCTGGGGACTCCTTGGACGAACACCTTTGTTATACTCTACGTTTCACTTTTAGCAACATTGCAAACACCGTCTTTTTAACAATGGCGACCGAGCCACCCAAACAGCCAACGTTAACCGAACACTTTTCAAATGAGGAGCGCTGCAACCGGAAACGGCTTCAACCAATCAGAAACTCTGGCGCCCATTTGACGTGCGCCGTCCTTATTTATAAGATTTAATCTCGCATCGAATACAGAAGTCAAAGCTATGCTATTTACACACATTTGTACATCTTTTTAAAATAAGTCATTAACGTCTAATAGTGAAGTAAAATGTGTTCATTAACATTTCACCCGATATGCGTTCATCCCCGACTGCGATTGCGCACTACGCCGGAAGTCGTGCCAAAAGTAGATCTCCAGCGCACACACCTTAACTGCTGTCGGGAGTTGGTGCCGTCGACGGACTATCCACGTTGTGTGTGATCGGTGGGAATGCGCAGTCTCGCAGAACCGAGCAGATCGTCACACAGTTCCTCTAGTCCAAAATGGCGCTATGTTTACGTCTCTACATAATCGTTTATTATCCCTAGCAAGTCTCATGGAGCGCTTTGGTGATTTTATTCACTGGGGAAGATAATTTGACCTAGCGTTTGGCTACAGCACAAGTGATTTACGATAATCGGGACATTCGGTAATGACAATTTAAGGTATGTTATCTCATTTTATTCTGCTCTGTAGACATAGCTACGCTTAGGCCTGACGATAGCTAGCTAACTTACTTAATTCAAATAAGAACAACATTACGTTTTATTTATGACTTTGTAGACTGCTTATCATTCAGCAGAGTTACCAGCTATCGTTAGGCTACCCGTTAAACGTTATAATGCTATTCTTCTCTCAAAGACTTCTTACTTCACATACTAGTTACTTTCAGTTTCACTAAAATGTATTTTTCTCCCCCCACAATGCTTCTGTCTTGCAGATCTGTGGCTCTAAAGTTCACCAGCAGCAGTAGGAAGGATGCAGGCTGAGGCCACAGACTCTTCACTGAGAGAGGGCATAGAGGCTCTGGATGTGAAGGACACAGAAAAACCTGCAGCAGTCCAAGAGGAAGAGGGCAACAAAGAGCAACAGGACACGGAGATGACTGCTGCCACAGAGGAGAATGCAACTACCAAGGATGAAAAAGGTAACTCCATTCAGAAACATATATGGACAGAAAGGTAATGTAGCATCCAAGCTAAATTAGGAGGCAAGAAGTTTTACCATTAAGGAAAAAGTCTTTATTCATAGTTGGAAAAGTGCTCTTACTGATTAATATATCATGTGACAAAAACCATTATGAGTAATGTAAGGCATAATACAAAGTGGTTCACAGTGAATGGTAGCTAATCTATGATTGCATAAGTAAAAATTTGCAGGTGTAGGTATAAAATGTGTGTTCAAGTCCAGAAGTGTAAAGAGCAGAAAATGTAAGAAAACAAGGTACAACTGATGCATTAATATAATGCATAAATAAATGTATAACATTATAGAGATGATATGTAAGTAAAGAGATATCAGTTCAACAGAATCAGAAATACTTTATTGATTCCCGGGGGGAGATTTGTTTGTATGTATGTATCAGTTAAAGAGTTTCTTAATGAAAAAATAACATTGTAGTAAACACAAGGAAATAGAGACACAAATAAAACACCAAAGCTTTTTGATGTAAAGCTGTATTTGATGCAGCCCTCCTTAGTATTAAAATGTTCCTTCACCAATAGCTTCTTGAGATTTACCCAGTACTGAGTAGTTTATACAGCGTCACAGTATAATTTATCTGTAGTACTGTAGAGAAAAGTAATCTATAATCTAATAGTCAAGTGCTATAGTTCTGTAAAAAGCATAATAAAATAAGTGTATCTTTCTACCACTCCACAGCTTTTATTAAACTGACTTTCTTCACATTTTTGCCGCCTCCTCAGATGGAGACTCAGATGCAGTGGAAGCAGAGGCGCACAAAGATGAACCTCAGGTAGACACAGGGGTGGATGGTGAAGAGGGAAAGCAGGCTGCAGTAGTGGACGGTGAATGGGAGCTTGCATACAGCGACGAGGAAATGGAGGACCCCAAAAACTGGATGCCCCCTCCTGCTGAAATCAAAAGACTCTATGAGCTCCTCGCTAAAGGAGAGATGCTGGAATTGGACTTTGTGCCCCTCCCTAGAAGGCCTCCTACACCTGAACGTACCCCCTCACCTGAAAGAGATGACGAGGATGAGGCGGCGAAAGAAAGGGAGAGGGAGGAGAGAGAGCGCAAGTCAGTGTTACTATTTCTCATCATTTCATGTTTACAGATTTTGGTTTGTGGTCCTGTATGTGAGAAGTTACTTTGTTTTTTTCCAGACCTCCAACTCCAACTGAGTTTGACTTTGATGAAGAGCAACTGCAAGCCACTCCGAAAAACTCCTTCATCAACAGACGCAGAACACCAGGTGTGACCGGCAATAGCCACTGAGATTAGAGTCTAAAACTGCATGAGCTAAATTAATGGTGCTTCTGAAAGCACAGTAAAAGTGATGGTTTTGTTGGTTTTCCTTCACTCCCAGGATCTTCAGCCCGCTCGTCTGTGAAAAGGGAAGCTCGGCTGGACAAAGTACTGTCAGACATGAAGCGCCATCGCAAAATTGAGGAGCACATCATGCGTACGGGTCGAGATCTCTTCAAGAATGACAAGAAGCTGGAGGAGGCTCTTTCTCCAAACAGCCAGAAGGAGCGGGAGAAAGAGAGGGAACGAGACAGTAACCCCAACACCATCTTCTCCCCGAGACAGAGGAGATACTGAAGTATTATGTGATGAGGACTTGCCCAGAGGCAAACAAGGCCAAGAGCTTTCAGAGGCTTTCTCAAAACTTGAATTTTCTAATGTAACGAGTTTTGTATGTTTTCTATGTGTGTTTTGTATATTGGCAATAAACATTTTAACCCTGGAGAATGTTAAGTGATCTGTTGTAATCGGGGTACAGTACTGGTGGGTGATGGGGATAAAAATCCTCTGTAAAGGCATGATTGTGATATCGGTATACAGTATATTGTGGTATACTAAAGTTTGTGAAATTTCATGGATAAAATAACAAGATTGGTATGTATTTTTGGCTAATGCAGCAAATCAAATACCTGGCATATCACCACACACGTCTCACATTTGTGCAAAAGTTGTATATAGAAACCCTAGTAATGCTCATGAATGTACATCGCACACAAAAGCCTACTACCAGTGGTAGAATGCAAATAAGTAAATTTAATTTGTACTTACAGGGAACAATATGTAATATTCTTTCTATATTAAAAAATAAAATTACAATGAGATGTCATCAGACATTACGGAAACATGTTAAATTGAAATACTGTCTTCTCTGACAATATTGTTACAACCTGTATCTTCTCATTTTAAATTTACAGTTGTGCAGAATTTGTTTATGTTTTGTCCTATGTGATTTCACTGACAATGTATATATATATAATAAGGTTTGGACACACTGGGTTGCCAGGTATGGCTAATTTTCACGTGTACACAGCGAGCTGCAGCCATGGTAGCAATCAGAGGATCGGCAGAGATAATGCTAGAGTCTGTCCGACATAAATAGCCTCTGTATGTGTCTAAAGAGCTCCATGACCAGAGACGTGGTAAAACACGGGTAAATGTTGGGAGATACATTTGAAACATGGAGACAGCTTCCTGCCAGAAAGGATTTCAAGAGCGATGTCGAGTTGGCTCATTTCCTCCTCAACAGGTAAGCACATTGGAATATACCAAGCGAGGACAGCTAGGGGGATGTTACAGTTTGGTCCATGAACTCCACCTGATGGTGTCCACTTTCACTTATATTTCATGCAGAGGGCGGAGCAGTTTGACCGCCATTAGACACAGAGGAGCGGACGTGATTAAAATATTCGAAAGAAACACTAGTTTGACTGTAAATTTACTCAATTGGCAAATGCAATTTATTATATACAGTTTTTTGTCTAATTATTCTCCAGAGCTACAATTCCAGATCGATGAGCAGTAAGAGCCTCAAACCTGTAATAATAGTATTTAATAGTTATTAATATTTGTTTATATTCTATTCTATACATCATTGTCTGCATTGCTTTTCTAGTAAGGTCATTTCACTGCCTTGAGTTATATTGCAACATATTATGGTGAGAATTACTTGAATCTTGATACTAGTAATGACAGCTATACTTTAATGTATTATTATTACTGATCTCAGTGCTGTTGGTATCATTAGTTTAGTCATATACTATGTACAACGGTTAGTTCTAAGACATTTTTCACTACTGTAACTTGTGCTTGTCACAACCATTATCAACAACTCAGTTTCATTACAATACCATCTTGTTAATCCCTTTTGTGTGTATGGACCTCTGCCTGTATTGCTCTGTAAATAGGACATTTAAACATGATTAATAAAAAATCCCAATGCTCACCTTTACTTGTGTTCATTATAATTACTATTATTAGCATTATTAAATAACTTAACTACAACAAAAAATTATATGATAATATTCTGTATAACATTAATGTTTCTTTTAAATGTGCAAATCGTGGAGAGTTTTGATGACCTGATGATGAAGAGGGACAAGATCCTCAACCTGGCAACCCAGGTGAGCTTCTAGTCTGGGGAGGAGGGACTGGGGAGACAACTTTCTACAATGTTTTGAATTTGGACTGTTGTACCCATTTTAAACACTTGCTGTCAGTCTTACATGGCTCCTTTAAGTACAAATTCAAGGTACTTTGAGTATTTCCATTTCATGCTATATTATACTTCTATTCTGCCACAGCTCAGAGGCAAATGTACTTTTTACTCTACATTTGTATGATGGGTTCATTCGTTCAATTACTCTTTCTGTCCAGTGAAAACCACGCGTCTCCAAATTTAGTGACTTTGATTTTTTTCGAAAAACTTACGTGTTCCCTTATGGATTGAGAGACTTCTTATTTTTCTGAGTTCATGAAAAGTTAACGTTTTAGAGATATATAGTTCTCAATGAACATTTGACCACTGCCAAGTACAGCCAGGATTATGATTACACTATAAATGGTGTCTTAAAATCTCTTACAGTAGAAAACATTAGTCTCACAGTACTTGGTATTTTATCCCTCCTGATCCTAGTCCTCATTTAGTACCATTTTTTTCACAATACGTGGAATTCCCTTCATAAAACAGCCCATTAAAAAGCCCTTTCATATTGCAGGAGGATCATCTACTAGGCAGAGGTCAGTCACTTGAAGAGTTACATTAATGGATTCTGGTGCCCTCTCATGGCACACTTTTACCTGGAGCAGTGATGTCTGAATTCAAACAAGGTTTATATAAAAAGGAAAAAAGACTCAAGGCAGGCTCAGGACAGAGAAGTATATTTTAGCTAAGTTTGAGTAACAATACAGCCTTCACATAAGGCTCAGAAGCATATAGTATAATATGTATGCATAAATATGCATTCAAAACCACAAACCAAATAAATAAATAAATAAATACTTACAAATAAATAACGAGCATTTTGTGGAATATACAGTACATCAGTTGAAATGTTTTAGTATTGTCAAGAAGCAGTACCTTATGAATTCATGGAACAGGGGAATGAATATTCTGTGTTCAACATGCCCACAGTTGTCCAGATGTTTTGGCACACGCTGCCGTCTTTATGGTTTCTGAGCTTTGCTTTATTTATTTTTTTAGACCTCTTTCCAGGAGTGAAGCTGCTTTAAACAGACAAAAAATAGTAAAACTAGCCAGTTTGTTCATAGAAGGTTCATGGAACCAGAGGCTCAAATAAACAGCTCAATGACTTGAAGCAAATTTCACAATTTAAAAGGTTTAAACAATTCATAGACTTATTAAGGGTTAAAACATTAATGAGCATCAATAAAATGAGTTGCCATGGACAAATGTGCTGCATGTCAATCACAAGGGAATGCCTCCCTACAAGATTATTCTTCACTTTTGTTTCCCTTCAAACTGCAACATTAGAAGTCCCCTAAAAATACTCAAATAAATAAAAATACTCAAATCTCATGGATCCCTTAGTGAAATATTCTAGCCAATCAAATGGATATTTTGAGATTCACATCAGCACCAAACTAAAAAAAAAAAAAAAAAGCACATGTAAAGTGACTTCCTTGTATGCAAAAACACTTTGTGATACCAGTAAATGGAATGAGGTCATTTCTACACTGAAACGAGAAGCACTGCCATAACATTTGGGGGTAGTTTGCGTACAGTAAGCTGTAAAACTGTGAAATGTTTTGTTTTAACGCTGAAATGTCATTGTTCAAAATGAGATGCAGAAATGAGACGAAACCGGGAAAAAAAAAAGAAAAATCAACATTGACCTAATACTGACATGGAAATAAGGACAATTTTACATCGGCTATGTACACCCGTCACATTTTGTCTGAGGGAGCCTCTTCCTTCTCTGAGGGTAAAACTAAATAAAAATGTAAATAAACTGCAAAGAAAGAGGGTAGAGGGATAAGGCAGCAGAATACAGTCTTATGAGATTATCTCCCTTCTAAAGGTGAGTCAGTCTGCAGGTTGGTTACATTTTGTTAGAGTGACAGTGACTACATAGAGGATACAGATAATAAACACTAACAAGTCAAAATACTGCTTAGCCGGGATTTTTTTCTTCTTCGTTACTAAACTGAATCAGGCCTTCCATCTACAGCAAATGTACTAACATACAATATAATACATTCCTATTTTCCTGCTCTTCCTATACCGTGAGGCAGAGAGGACTGAATTTGATCTACATGAGGGAAATAGCCACCAATGCTTGCTATACATCCAGGCAAATTCCTCTCAGGTCAGTGCATGTTCCTATCTGTCACAGTGCCTGATGACATCTTTAAATACTGAGTGCACTAACACTCGTTTCCTACAAACTGAGAAGCTGAAGTACATGAAGGCCAGCAACCAAACGTTTAGCAGTTGGAGTTTGGCTGCTGGACACAAACACTTCAGCGCTATTTGAGGCCATCGTCTGTAGCTTTCTTCATATTGCTACTTGTTTCAAGTCTCACTTTTCCCTCATAAGCTTTCTTTCCTTTACATACTCATTGGTACATTCGCCTTCTTTCCCACCCCACCCTCCCCCTCCACTCGTCTCAGTGAGTGGCCAGCTCGGACTCTGTGGAGCGCGCGCTGTAGCCGTTGGAAGGCTGGGGCAGCGCGTTGCCATCCGTCTGCCGCTCCTTGGCTGTGTCTGCGCTCGCACGTGGTCTCTGAGATCGGGAGGAGCCCATGAATAGTCGCAAAGCGCCCCTGCAAATTAGGGAGAACCAATAGAGCTGGGGGGCCATGAGCAGAGCAGCGCCGAGGTTACAGTGCCAGGGCACCATCAGGGGAACCATGTGGAAGGGAATGGACGCGTACCTGGATCCCAACGGAGGAGACAAAGTATTTGTGAACGCGTGTTCTGAGTCTTATTTCCTTAATCTATAAAGATAGAGATCATGTGGCTGTGCAAGTTACTGACCCAAGCTCAGCGAGACAGCAGAACATGAGAAAACAGAGATGGAAAGACAGACATACCTTCCATAGACGTAGTAGAGGTAAGGGAAGAGGAGGACTCGACAGATGAAAAAAGTGATCAGCATAAGAGCCCCATTCACTTTGTGCAGGAGAGTGTGTTGCTGTTTGTACTGAAAGCGGAAAAAAAACAGAGGGAGGGAGAGAGAGAAAGAAAAGCAAGCAGTACAGTTTGGTGAAAGCTGACGATGTTAATCTTACTTGCCATCGTAATATTGTTAATATGAACATTTTTATATTTGTTATTATATTACAATATATCTGCATGGACTGATTAAATGGCAATGGACAGCAGAATATGCCATGCAGCCGGTGGATTTCTACAGGAGGCAAAGTGAAGCAGTCTTATTTGTTTACAACAGTTACACTTAACTTTTATCTAACACAGCCAATCTGCTTTGGTGAGATAACACTGACAACAAGCTTACACACACTTCCTCTGGCCCATTCACTAATCACATATCCTAGAATTACGTGGCTGCCCATCAATAAATACTCTCTTGTTCTGTTATTCATTGTTTTTTTATTCTACAGGTATAAAAGGGAGGCTCTACAAGGCCACAGCTTCTAGCCCACTGTTTATCACATGCACTGTTGTCGTGGATGGGAGGGACAGGGTGTTGAGTGATAGCGGGTGGAAGGACAAGCTGATATTGTATCTGCTGAATATCCCGTCTAAATACTAGGGGCTATATTGAGAGGCTAACAGCTGTGGGAGCCCCAGATGGGGGACAAGCAGATAGCAATGGAGGGGCAACCTTCACCGGACACTTATACACTGTACACACATCCAAACAAACCTAAAACAAATACGGGAGGGGGGGGTTGCAGCTCCTACAATGTGTATTCAAGCAAACTGTGTTACCAATTAACGAGTGATGTTTCTGACAGTGTGGTTCATGTAAGAGACAGTCAACGGGAGCTGATGGGCATGAACAAGCTGCATGCCGGGAAATATATTCACCAGTGAACGAAAGGGTGGAAAGAGAAGTGGAGAGTGCAGAAGAACTTTAGTGCGACACATGCACATGCAACAAACACAGTCAACATCTTCTCTGTGGCTGAACCATTACACTTACCTGGATGAGTATTTTTCCTAAGCAGACAGATGGAGTGCTGAGCTCAGCCATGAACATTATACCCTGGAAATAATCTCCCTTTCCTTGTCGCCAAAACTAGAGGGAGAGAGAGAGAGAGAGAGAGAGAGAGAGAGAGAGAGAGAGAAAAAAGAGGTTGATTTTTGGTTCAGCATGCAATTACAGCTTTGTTCCCTTTGTGGATTTTTTGGGAGATTTGCAATAAACACTGCTCTCTAAATAAACATCTAGCTGGAGCTAACAAGTAAAACATGTTGAAGACTTAAAGCTGGAGCTAACAAGTAAAACATGTTGAAGACTTAATTCTACTTTCTCAGAGTCAGACAAACTAGGTCTATGAGATTAAAGAGGGTGGTATACTTCTAATCCATATGTTTACATGCACAAACAGCCATGGTGAACTGCACGGCATATAAATACCTATACAATTAAGAGCTGTGCCTATTAGTTGATTAATCAATTATCAAAATGGATGCCAATTAATTTTATGCAAATATTCCCCCAAAAAAAGAGGATTCATTGATTCCATCTTTTTCAATCTATTTTTTTTTGCTTTTCCTTGACTTCACAGTATAGTAAACTTTGGGATTTGTGATGTTTTATTTGACTAAGCGACTAATCAATAACAAGAACAATTGTTAGCTGCAGCCCTAATAATGCAATTATTTTGCAAAGAGTAGTTTAGACTATAATGTGTTTTGTGAGAATCTGTATGTGCTAACAAAATATTTAAGATTATATGTATAAAGTGTTAAAAACTCAGATATTTTGATGCAAGGTTAATTGCACCACTCAACATACCTTCAGACTGCACACTTAAACATAAAAGCATCAATTTAGTTTGTCTCTCTTTGGATAAAAATAAAGCATAAGCACACTGTCCCTTTAAACATGATAAACTCTCAGCCCAACAGAAAGAGCAATGTGTGACAGTTACCACAGAGACAGGGAAGCAGACGGTGACCATGACAACATGGTGTAGCACCATGAGGAACTCGCGACGCAAGTAGCTGGTCAGCGCTGAGCTCATGTGCTGGGGTGCTGCTGAGGCCTCCTCGTGCCCTTTGACCCGTAGCTTGTACCAGTAGCACATGAACATTGCGTAGATGTCATACACGAAGTAGGGAACAGCAAACATGATGTAAGAGCAAGTCAGCCAATGCCTGTGTAGAAGAGGAAGAGAAACAGCTTTTAAACAGAAAGGAAATAATAGATACAATGTTATAAGTGAGAACACAACTTTTCTAATGGTACATACGTTTGTAACTAAAACAAGAACGTTGGATTTGTCTTTAAAAAACAGTGCAGTTACTAGCCTAAAAAAAGAATAGCTTTTCCCCTCTGAAATCCAGAAAACTCTCAATGGAACCCATCTCATCTGAATTTAAAACCACCTAAAAAAGTGATAAAATGCTTGGGGCAGATTTAAGGAGAAAACTTCAGGGATAGCTGAACTAAAAACTGCTTATAGACTCTCAGACGGCTCCTGAGATTTGCAGCTACTTGTAAAGGCATCGATATCAAGTTAAATGTTATGTTTACATTTGTAGCTGCTGTATGACGAGAAGTCCAAATCCCAACGTACCTTTGCACGGTGCATCTTAAAACGTTGTGAATCTCAAATCCTGACAGCTGACATAAAACATACATTTTCAGCATTTCTTGACTTACTGGTCCTCGATGATGTCCTCGCAGGAAGAAGCAATGATGTAGCCAGCTGAGGAAGCCATGACTGCCTGAACTGACGACACCAACCTGGGCACAGAGAATAGCAAGTAAACAAATGCATTTTCTCATAAGCCAATTTGATGAAAAGCTTTTACACTTTAAGAGGAAGTGCTTATGCAGAAACAATATAACTAAAAGCACTCACGCAAAAAAAAAAGTCTAAAACAAGCTGGACGGCACTGCAGTAAATGACATGATATGTCTGCATCCAAAAGGTGCTCACATTGAAGACCACACAGAAACCACATTTTTAGAAGGTCTCACCTGGCAGATACAATGACTGCATCTCCTTCGCTCCACCTCAGTGCTGGGATTGACTTCAGGCATTGTTTGGACAGGAGGAAAAGGCCTGGAAAGAACACAGACCCAGCAGCTAAGATGGTCAGCATGGTCCCTGGCGATCTGTCCGAGAGGCAAAAAGATCAGTGGGCAGTCTGGTCCTTGAGATCCGTCGCTCTTTCCCCTCTCTGAAAAACACAAAATGTCAATAAGTGAACAAACATATTGATCTCTATAGCGGTAACTCCCATGCGTATACATTTGGCTGCACTTACTGAGATAACGAACCAAGCACCCTATCAAAGTCCAACATATGTGGCAATAGGTCTTGCCATATGCACAATAAAGAAGTGGGATAGATGGAGGGGAGGGAGGGTCACAGACAGTCCAGGCACAACGTGGAAAACAGGATTATATTAAAGGTGAAAAGGGGCAGTACATAGGATGAAAAGCTGTGAGACTATACAAATGCTGAGCACAGTGGCAGTGAGAGAATATCAGATAGAAGGCCCTTTTGTGCAGCATGCTGCCCCCCCATCCATCTGATGACATTGTAAGCGTTATTCACTTTCCTATTTATTCCTAGGGCGACCATGTGGTAGCTCCACGAGGTTTAGCAGTTTGCTTACAGACTAGCTGACTCATTAAAAAGTTGAAGTCCATTAGCAAAATACGCATTGCGCTATTTTAAAATCCTCAACGTCGAAAATATCGACATAGGCTATTGGTGCTCATAGTTCCTGGCCACACCGTTAGCTAATACTACCTGTCCTGGAAGAATAATTACTAGCCAAGCTTTTTGCTGCCTGCTTTTTTTTTGGCAGGCAGCAAACCAAATAAGCAAATAGAGACCGGCGGTCGGTTGACATGTAACTTAACTATTGTGGTTTTCACGCTGAGCTGTAAATATTAAATATAAATAAAAGAAATTGTGTTTAAACTGTGCAATGTTTAGTCCCAAAGCATGCGTGTCAAATTAACCTGGTAGTGAAGTAACGCTAACTCAGCTAACGTTAGCTACCGTTAATGTTATAACGTTAAATAATAAAAAAAAAAACTGCTTTCCATTGAATAACTACACCGGCTAGCTGGGGCTACAAATAACATAGCTACAGGTAACGCAAACTAACGAGCTTTACTAGTTGGTTGTTAACTTGTTAGCAAGAACAAAAAATAAAAGATAAAAGAAACTGGGTCAGCCAGCGTGCAGTTATGTATGTTTTAATGGACGGAGACGATGCTGCTCACAGTAAATGTCACCCGCCGCCTTGGTAACGGTAAGAATGACCAACTGTCGCCAACTGTCGGCGCTGATGAATCGCCTGCTAACAATGACGCTAAGAACGTTAGCCACCGTTAGCTGCTAGTTAGCGGTTAAGTCACCGCTGGCTCAGTTAGCAACCATTTCGTTTTGAGCAAATTCAATTAATTGTAGTTAGCAAGAGGGTGACACTCAACACACGAGGACCGATGACTGATCGTGTCACCGTCCCTGTTTGTCACTCATTCGCGGTGACGCTGTGTTGACTGTTTTGTCAGCTTGTTATTTGTTTGTAGCCGTTAGCAGTAGCAACTAAGCTAACCGACACCGCGAGCGCTAACCGATAGGAGTTTGCACATGTTTGGAAAAAAAGAAAAATCTTAAGCAACATTTACACAGAGAGTCTGTAGAGTCCAGTCAGCGGCCAGTCGAAACTCGTGTCCCGCAGAAAACGTTTAACGTTAGAGATGTCCCGGGGGTCTCCGCCTCGATGATCCGCATGTTTATGTGGCCACTTCAATGTCTGAAGGGTAGCAGCAGCGAGCTAACGCTAGCTTGCAGCGACTTACATCGACATCTACGTGAGGGCAACTCACTAAGAGCATTGGGGACTGGCCTGCGATCTAGCCCCCAAAAAAAAAAAAAAAAAAAAAACAATGACACAATCTGATCCGGGTGTCAAGATAACGTTAGCGGGTTCCAGTCGCTATGTCATCTCGTCTGTCTCACTACAGCGAGAGCAGAGACGCCGCTGCTTCCTTCAGCTTCGCAGATGCACTGCTGCTGCGCCAGCTAGTTCCTACAGGTCCAGGCAGCAGCTCATGACATGACGAGAAATTTGCACCAGTCACTGCACTGCATTTTCTAAACTGATGGTTTGTTGTTTTTTTTTTCCATGCAGGAAGAAACGTTGAATGGATTCCTCATAAGGAGGCCGTGTATTCCAGCTGCATTCATAGTTTTGCAATATCCAATCGGTCCACTTCAAAATATACGGTTATTTACATGCACACAAAAGGAGTCAGCATGTATGTATTCAATTCAGAGAACCATTGTACATCTGTTCAATTAAAGACAGATGTGTGTGTAAGAGCTACAGATGGGTTTATCTTTGACAGGTTATTTATCTGACCTTTGAGTGGATCAACGTTTGCAGATAAACAATCAATAATCAACCTTAGTTGCACATTATCAGAGATTCCTGGTATGTTTGTAGGGTCAGGGTCCTGACATTTAACAGCCTTGCAAGCCTTGAGATGTATTGGAGGCTTGTAGATTACACGGCAATCAATGCAACACTGTTCAGGCTTTGTAACCCATGTCTGACCTTTATAATTTAGGGCATGTTAAAACTGTAACTGCCACGAGCACTGTTTCTACTAAATCTGTACAAGAAGTAGTTCAGGGAGACCAGTTAGAAATTTGTCTTCATTGTGTTGTAACTTAAAATGGGTCAGTAGAATATCTCCTTTTGTTCTGCTGTACTACATCGTTATACCCATTGTGTATAATTTGCAAAACAAATACTGTGTCCATATCTAGTAGTTTACTCAAAGCTTGAGTAGTAAGATCTTGATCAGTGTGCAGATACTTGCTGTGTATACAACACACAAATATGGGATACATACCTGCCAATTGTAGGTGAAACAAATACATATAAAAACATTTAAAAGCAAAAATCATCAGTTTAGTACATAAACCTGAGTGAGCTTTGTTTAGTGGGAGATAAAACCTTTTCAAGTAAATAATGTGATAGATTTAAGAGAGATAACGTGTTGCTGTGTAAAATACCTTAAAGGTTACAAAACATTGTCAACCTCCTCCACCGTTGGTCCGTTTACGACTGGGTGGCGATGTTGATGAAGAGAGATTTCTGTTAAGAGAAATGTGTAACTTTTAATGGAGTCATTTAAAATTCAGTGAAGTGCTGTATTGATGTTAAACAGACTTCAGTGAGAGGAATTATGTACGTTACAGTTGTAGTCACCAGACATACAGTCGTCAGGTTGGAATAGGAGCAGTCTTGTGTCAAGTGTAACATTGAATGAAACACATTTGTCATACATTACAAGAAAATTTCTACTACAACTGAAAAGACCTTTATTTTGTGTATTAGGATGAACCTTTTTAATGTACCTACTTCACTTATGCGTTTTCATATTTCACTCAGTTACTTTCATTAGTGTGTAGAGAATGTGTCTGAACCTGTTGTGTTCAACTTTACTATACACAGTGAAGCTGACAATGCGGACATATAATGAGCAAGATAACAAGTTTGTCAACTTAAGAAACAGTAATAGAGTTGCGCCTCTTACCAAACACAGAGCATGTGTTTCTGCTGCTGCTGTCAGTGGAGAGAAGTAGTTTCTCTTTGCACCATTTTTAAAGTCAAAGATGTCACTTGTATTCAGAAAGGTGGATAGGAGAATACATAATGTAATACGATCCTGCCCACTGTCAGCACTAAATTTATTAAATAGCTGGATTTCGGTCAAGTTAACTTTGTCAGGCATTTCTTGACCGAAACTGCTGAGTATATTTACCATAAGTGTTGACAGTGTGCAGGAGCTCTGATTGTCTGATTACGAGATGTTGATGACAAACCTTTATGGTTTCCACTGTTTTAGATTGTTGGGAAACTTTCATGTAAATTCTGTTGTAGCTTTGCTAGAGTTATGTTGACGTTAAGTCACATTGTCCACATTTGGACAGATATCCATGAAAGATTCCTCCACGAGCAGTGTCTATGTTTACCAGTGGATTTTTTTCCTGATCTATTGTTACTGGGTCATGCAGCAATGTGAACAGGTATGCATCCGACTACCTGATGATGAAAACAGCTTCATATTTCTATGAGAACAAATACTGTCCTGCTTTCAGAAAGGTCTGAAATGTAATTTTCTATGTCACTGGATGCTAATTTGGTCACATATAAACGAACTGTGAGTTTCCACTCATTGATGATCCAATAAGCATTAACTAATCAAATACAATTATGTTGATCTTGCTGGACATCCAGAATGACTGCCTGTCTGTGAGCTGTGGATGTGAAGAAGCTGTGGTGTAAAACTGCTTATCTGCCAATGTAGGTGAACAGATCAGCACACAAAACAATGCCCGTTTACTCTTTTTACTTTAAATTGTCCAAATTACAAAATAATAACATGATCTCTACTTCATCTACAAAATAACATATTTATGACTGTAGTAAGCATCATTGATTTTTTTTTTTTGCTCTAACAACCTTTTAGACATGCATACTGTTGAGAAATATAAAAATATAAATATAAATACATCCCATTAATATTAATGAATCCATGACTAAGATTTGAAATATTTCATCATAAAAGAATTAAAATGCAGTTGAGTACGATAAGGCATTAAGATGTATCACAAGAGCTGTACAGAATCCTAGAGTAGAGGTATTATTTTTTTCTTAGTGTAATGGAGAAAAAAACCTAAAATTAACTTTTTTTAATAAATCACTACTTTTCTCAACAGGAAGAACACATTTGCAAAGAAAAAAAGAAAAGGAAGAAAGAAACAACTCTACAAATTTCAAGGTAACATATTAACACAAAACTGAAAAAGCACTCCAGTACAAAACCAGGATTTGTTTACAGCATACCACGTGGTGTTGTCCAAGTCCCATTGTACTTATTTTGCCTGACTTATGACTTTATAAGCCCTTTCTCGACACCACATCACTCACAATATAACTCAAAGCAACCAAAAATATCCAACAGACAAGTGACCATTCTTCACATGAGCAATGTAGAACGATAATGACTTGCGTTCCGAACATTATGTGCTATACAGAGTTAAATGACTAAGTCTAATGCATAAGTCTCACTCATTGGACTGGTACATAGAGAAAACAAAAGGGCTATGGCAATGACAGTTACAATCAAATTAATGGCCAACAATGTTAAAATTTTCTGAATAAAAATCAACACTTTTATAAATATTATTGTTTACAGCCAACTAACTCGGTGGAACTGCTAAAAGTTTCTTTTGTCATGACAGCTCCCTAACAATAAGCATGACTGAGCTAGCTTATCTTCATGCAAAAGGTAGTTTTCAGGTGCAAGAATTGCCATGTCAGAAGCTGAAGTGTTGATTAGCAGTTATGTTTCTCTTTTTTCCTTCTTTTTTTTTTTTTTGAATGGCCCGAACCCAGAGAGGAAGACTCAGAGCAAGAAAATCCAAGAAATCTCAAACCCATTTTGATCCTCACTGAATCAAACAATAACAATTTAAGGTGCTTGACACTCCTGAACGCAACTCTCTTCTCATCTCTGTACCATTAGGAAACAAATGAACAAGTACATCCCACAATTCCATACTGACCACAACATGTGTGGGCTTCTGTCCTGATCTATAAACAGCCCTCTAGAGGCTTAATGAACTGGCATTGCAAAATCAAATGTTGATTTTAGTGTCGTGAACAAACAAGGTAACATGCTAGAGGAGCCCTGACTTACGCACACCCAAACACACAACTTCCCTTCTAATGTGTTTCTTCGTTACATTTTCGGAGAGCTATTCTCTCCCAAACTACTTCTCAATGCAAAGCCATTTGGATTCTCAGTAAATGAACTGCAAAATGGAGGTAAGATCAGAGCTGGTGTGAGATATACAGTACTTGGTGCACTTGCAGAGAGCAGCCAATGCCAGGGTTGAAGGGGGAGGAGGGACAGAGGGAGAGGGCAGAGAGGGGAGAGTAATACAGTAGATGCTCACAATACCACAGTTTCATCGGAGTCTTAAATGCACGAGAGCATTCAGGAATATTTGGACAACACATCCATGTTCGTCATTAGTGTCGATGAACCTGCTGCAGCCACAAAGGTCCCTCTTTCAATTGCTCTATTAATTCCTTTTTCTCCTTTTCTCTGATGCTCCAGTTCTGCAGCTCTGAGGTGATACTGCCCTTGAACGCTGACTGGTGTTAATCTCCCCCATCCTTAATCCTAACCTTACCTGTAAGTGGGGACATAACAAAACGGAAACCGGATCAGCATCTACACGTAACTTTAACCTTCTCTAACCTTGCCCTCTGTTAAGGGACTGAGGTTTTTTTTATTTTTATTGCTGAGCTCTCTACTGCTAACTGTGGGACTGTGGTGCTGCAATGCTAGAGCAGTCCGTGACGAGCAGGTCCACCACCGTGTTACCGGTGACATACACAGTAGGGGCCGTCACCATGTTGCTAAGGGAGACAGAGCTGCTGGCGGCCACATTAGAGGTGATGGGGCTCGGGGCACCCTGGTTGTTACTGTGGGTGCCCATGTGCCCCTGGAGCTGGGTGGGTGTCTTGCAGTGGACGCCGCACAAGTGGCAGACAAGTATGCCGCCGGAGGCTGAGCCGCCAAACCCCCCTGGACTGTCCTTCCACTCCTGGCCATGGTGTTTCTGGGCGTGGACACGTAGGTATGTCAGTGTGGTGAAGCCTGATAGAGGAGAGGAGAGCCGGGTTGGAAAGTGTGAAAATTACAAAAAAATGCGTTGTTTAACTCAAACATACAGCTGTTTACAGCCGCGGAGAGGGTCACGTTAATATAGAAATACTGATGACAGCTGGTTTAAACTAGTAAATCAAAGCATCTGTACTTACTGCGGTTACAGAGATGGCAGGCGTGGTGCTGTGACTGGTTGTGCACCCTCATGTGATCTGTGATGTAAGCAGCAGACAGGAGCTTGCCACAGATGTGACAGGGGACCTTCTCCTCGTGGCGAATCATATGCGCACGCAATCGATCCTTCGTGGCGAAGCTGGACTCACAGGTCTGAAAAAAGTGTGTGACAAGAGATACATTTAATATCTATCCACGTATGTTAACTTTTACCATTTAAGTCTTGTAGCCATTAAATCTATTAACATCTGTCAGTGTTCAAGATAACCAATAATAACCAAATAATACATGCATGTAATGTATACACACACAAACACACACAGTATAATGTACAGCATGTATGTTTGTCATGTTCATTCAAATGTCAGTCTTTGAACAGCTGCATGTAAACATAACAATTACAGTGCAATTACGACATACTTCCTGCATATTCTCTTTTTCAAAAAGGCCTGTACTTTATCTAGATCAGTTTCCATGGTAATATTTTCAGTGTTCATTTACACGTGTCAACAGATATCTGCGTGAGGCAGCTGAAGACAGATAATGCTGCAGTAATGTACAAGACTTCAACCTTGAGTCATCTGGAACACATAAATGGACTGAGAAGTGCTAGGTGAGGGTATTACACAGGACGTACCGGGCATTTGAAGGGTCGCTCCGAAGAGTGCACCTGTCTGACGTGACTGTTTAGATGGTCGGGCCTTGGGAAAGAAGGAGAGTCAACTTATCAGGGTTTTAGTAAAGGTCTATTTGTGATTGTTGGGAACATTTGTGTGAAATAAGCCTGGCATAAAAAAAAACAACAACTTAGTAGAATTATAGGAGAAGAGTCTTCTTATAAGTGGAAATGTGTATGCAATAAACCCCTGCTCAGTACAGTACACCCAGTACAGGATTCACTGATTCAGCCTTGATTGGTCTGGTATGATCAGTAGTTTATGGTGACTAATGTTACCCATTGTTAGAGTTTTAGATGGGAAGATCGATATCACTCATGTATGTATGCTAAATATGACGTTACAGCCAGCAGCTGGTTATCCCAGCCAACAAATAGTCAGGCATATAATCCCCCGTAAATCCCCCCGTCATTTTTACATCTTGTTTTTGTACATATTAAATGACCGAGATATAACGGAATTACTGAGCTTTAGAGGTGCTGGTTGGCGGATTTTGTAATCTTCAGACAGACCCTCTGTTTCCACTCTTTACGCTAAGCTAAGCTAAGCTAAAAGGTGTCTTACTCCTCGACTTACTCAACCCTGACAACAACGTTATAGGACCTAAACTGTTCACCTAGAGAAAGCCTTGCCACAGTGGGGGCAGACATAGGGTTTTTCCACACCGCCCTGGTGGGAGCGCACATGGTGGCTCATACGGTCCTTCCTCTTGAAGCGCTGCTGGCAGATGGGACAGGAGAATGGCTTCTCGTCCGAGTGGGACAGGCGGTGGCGGTTGAGATGGTAAACGTCACGGAAAGCCTTCCCACACGTCTCGCAGGCGTGGTTCTTTCTCACCGGGTTCGGGTTGGGATTTGAGGGCCGCTGCGGCGAAAGAGACAAGCAGATACACACACTACAGAGTTTAGATGAGATTTTCTGCACAGAATTACATGTATATACACAAAAACATATGTTTATGTGTTTTATATCTTGTAACCATGCAAATGCACACAGATATTTTTGCCTGATTTGTAGCAAAGTTGCTTGTGCAGAACCTTTCTGATAATTGATTTGTATGTTAGATTCACTACTTCCCACTGGATTTGTCTTTATCTGCTTTCACACTGTTTGTGTTACAGAGAACATGCAGGGGAGCGTGGGGGGCTTCTAGCACACTGTTTCTCAAACTGGGGACCAGTGCCAAACGCTGGGATGGAATTTACTGGTCCCTGAACCGATTACTGCACATTTTGTCAAAATTTAGAGTTTCAGTCAAATACGAAGCAGGTGACACACAGTAACTGCTTGCGAGTCCCAAACAGAAAAACAAGGTGGCTGAACCATCCCTGTGGCCAGGCAGCTTAAGAAACAACATGCTTGAAGGTTTGGGGTTGACGACAGCCATCTCCACAAGGCCCTGACCCACCTGTACTGTCGCCCCTGTGGCCATGACGACAGCAGCAGGAGGCGGAGCATGGGGGTTAACACTAGCCATTAGGTTTGGCATGGCAACCCCTTCACCATCCTGACTACCCAGGGGAGGCTGCTGGGCCCCCGCCAGCAAGCCGGGAGGGGCGAGAGGGGGAGGTGCGGAGAGGTGTAGCAGGGAGAGGGGAACAGTGGGCCTCTCCGCCCTCCCTCCGGCCCCCACCGCCATCACCGACGGGGCCGCCACCGCCACCTGGCCGGCCGCTCCCTCCTTTGCCCCCTCCGCCTGCTCTCTGGCCCTGTCCTTCATGCGTACCCCGGTGTGGACCGACTGGTGCCGCCGCAGGTTGTAGTTGTTCTTGAACTGCTTGTTGCAGATGGCACAGATGTGGGGTATGCGGGTCGGCCGAGACACTGGCTTCACTGGACCACCGGAAGGAGGCGGGAGAAAGGACAGAAAGAAAGACAAGTGTTCATTTCAATGAAGGTGATTTTGTATGTTTATACAGGTAATTTATAACTTTTATGAAGCACATTAGGCAAAGTAATATAGTATAGGAAGGCTTCAACTAGCAATTATTTTCTTCAGCAATCAGTCTGGAGATAACTTTCCCAATGAATCGTCTGGTCTACAAAATCTCAGAAAATGGTGAAAGGAGCCTAAAATGACGTCTTCACGTTGCTTGTGTTGTCTGACCCACAGTCCAAAATCCAAAGATAGTCAGTTTACCATCATATAAGGAAAACCAGCACGTGTTCACATTTGAGACACTGAAAGCAGTTCTTTAAGTTACTTGCCAGTTAATTTTCGGTCGAGCGATTAATTAACTGAATAGTTTCAGCTCTGATCATAATGTGTAGCTCTACTGAACAGTTTGGTTAAAAACTGATATTACATGTGACATATGTCTTACAATAATTAGTAGTATTTCTAAATGTGTGGCAAACCGGGCTGCACAATACAGTATAAACAACATACTGTAATTATTCTGACAGATATTGTGATATGATTCACATTTTGTGGGTTTTTTTGCAACATAAATTTAATTTTCACTGAAAAAACTAATATATGTGAAATTTGAGGTACTTGATTATAAAGCTGCTTTGTCAGACTTTTAACCTTTGTCACAAAACAGCAGCTTCTGCAATTTGCATATTGCACTAACTAATATTTAGATTAATTGTGCAGCCTTTGTGGCAAAGTAAACGAGATTACCACATATTTGTTAAGGTTTAATAAAGGTAATCATACCACCATTATTAAACAAATAAATACTGATAAACACTGACATCATGTCCTTTGTTTATCCACAATGTTCATAGCTTGAATTTGAGTGTTTTGAATTTGAACCAGCAGAGAGAAATATCAGTGTTATGTATACGTCATTACATTAAGTATCATTCAGCAGTGGTTAAACTCCACAATGAAATATTGACCTATAAGATTGAAACCTATATGGCCATGATGTGTCCTTTCACCAGCAAATCACCAATATAAATATTACTTTTTATGACCTGGCTGACTTTAACACTGGCTCTGAGTGACCTCAATTACACTTATGTGTTATGTTTTACTCTCAACATCTCCACAGGTGTAGAGTGCAGTGTCCCTCACCAGGCAGGGGTTCCTCACTGAGGGCAGCAGTGTCCACAGTGGAGGGAGGCTGTGCTATGTGCTCTGTGGGTGGGGTTTGGGGAGAACTCGTATGCACGGGCATGAGCTCTGATTGGAGGCTCCCCTCCACTTGGTTTTGGGTGGGAGCATTCTGGAGAAGCAAGTAAGAAGGCCATCACCAAACGTAAACACAAGTCACAGCATTATCTTCGAGGTGCTACGGTGTAATACAAGATGCGAGGGCTGTAGGACTGCTGGACATACACACACACACACACACACAAACACACACTGAAGGGGCCTGTGTGAGTAAAATGCGCGCAGTAAAATGAGAGCAGAAAGAGACGCCATGCTCAACAAGCCTACCTGGAAGAGAAAATTGCTCCAAGCAGCATCCATTTTGCGCCACAGCGGTGGAGATTATAAAGTCAGCTCCTGATTGGGATCGAGAAGGGCAGCCTTTGCATGTTTCGATCGGCTCACCGGTGATCGAGGCGCACACAGCCGCCTGTTCTGCAGCAGGAAACGACGGGCTTCTGGATTTTCTTGAAAAAACGTGAATAAAGTCGTCTGCAAAAATATGTATTTTTTTTTTCTCATTGAGGTAGCCTAATGCTGTCCATTAAAATGCACGCAGCTGTTGACTAACGCAGGCTGCAGCACACAGGCAGTAGTGGAGCAGGCCAGGTCCAATAATGGCCTGTTTCTATTTCACTTTGGGGTTTCTAACTTTAATTCATGAAAACACTAATCTCACCAAAAACGCAATGTCACACAATAAAAACTGCTTTCCAAAAATAAAAATAAAAAACCCCACAAAAAAAAAACCGCATATTACATTTTTTAGCAATTAACATAAACCATTATACATGAAATAAATGCAGCTTTACGCACGGTAACACATATGGGTTATAACACACGTATCTGATAGCACAGCAGGTCATGCTTTGTTTTTAATTTATGAATCTATTTTTCCGATTTCCCCCCCCCCCCCAATAGGCCAATCGGGTGTTTGTCGAAGCCTCGTTGTTGGATTCAAGCCCTGACCCCGGCGAGCGGCGCTCTCGCCGGGCCGCAGCCTATCGCTCCACCTCGGCCGTTCAGCTGCGAGGATGTCATCTTTCTTTTTTTATCGCCCGCTCTCCCTCCTCCCTCCCTGTCTCTTTCTTCCTTTTCTTTTTTAATTCCTCTTTCTTCTCCCCCTCCTCTCCTTTTCTCGCACCGCTATGTCCCACTTGCTCTTAAAGGGATAGGGTTTCCTCTCTGGACACCCCCCTCTCATTTCCGTCTCCCTCGGCGGAGGCTGTCCTCTCCCCTTCCTTCCTGGGTTTAGTCGGCCGACACAAAATGCAGCTCCTGTTTTTTTTGTTTTTTTTTTTGTTTTCTTTTTTTTCCTTCTTCGAGCCAGCTGGAGCAGATCTTCTTGCTCCACCGCAGAAAACAGCCTGAACGACTTTCCATTAACGGAGAGATGACAGACGCATCTTAAAGGGAAGTGCGCACAGATCCTCCCAGTCGGCCTATAATAATGATGTCAGAGTCAGATATAGTACACAGGGCGAATAGCAGCTCAGGACACACACACACACACACACAACACACACACACACACACACACAGACACACACAATAGATGAGAATAACTATCAACATCGCATAAATACAGATAAATGGCTGTTTTAGGAAAATAAATAAAGTATACACATTTATAATACATTATTATGGTTAATATCCCTCCAATTAGTGAGAGTCTATAATAATAAACTAGAGCTGAAACTATTATTGGATTAATTCATTAGTCACAAGACTCAAAATAACAAGCAGTTAAATCATTTGATTCAATTTTAAGTTAAAATCCCCAAAATGTACTGGTCCAAGTTTCTCAAAGGTGAATATTAGTTGATTTTCTGCGTTTGTAAGTTTTGACTGTTAGTCAGATAAAATATGACATTTTAATATATCAGTGTCAGTATGGGCTTATATATATATATATTAATTACATTTTCTGGACTAAATGATTAACCGATAAAATAACTGGGAAGATTGGTTGATAATTAAAATAATCCAGGGATGTTACAAACAATTATTCTTCAATAATATTTTTTTCTATTAATTGTTTGGTTTATACACTTGTAGAAAATAGTAAAAAAAAAAAAAAAAAAGATTGAAGATAAATAAATCCCAAAGCCTCTTTTTATATTCAGTTCAACATCATAGAAGATGAAGAAAAGCAGCAAATATTCACATTTAAGAAACTGTAATAGATTGTTTTGCTTTTTCATTAAAACGTTACTGAAATTATTAATTATCACATTTTCTGAACATTAACTAATCAATCTAACTAATTGTGTCAGCTAGTTGCAGCCCTGTAATAAACACTGACATAATAATCCCACCTGTGTAAAGTACATCAAATCAAGACGAGTTAATGTGTTAATATCAATTTATTATCTTTTTTAAATTACTTTTTAAAGCACCCCATTTCTTTTCCAATACATGTGTTAAGACCCTTCTTCCTTCTCCTCCTCAAGCTTGGAATTGCTTGATTTGAATATTTAATAAGGATTTCAACCCCCACCCCAACCCCCTCCCGAAAACTCTGCAAAACACAGCTGAGCCTGGGTCGCTTCTTCGTCTTCATCTTCCATCCGGGCACGGTGACGCAGGAACTGAGACTCCCCTGCTCTTGCCACGACCTCTGACACTGACAACAACCCGTCTAAAAACACTACCACACTGATTTCCCCCAACACAAAGGCCGTCCCAAACCCGCCAGTCTTAGTTTATATAAGGAGTTTATGCATGCACTGAGATTTCCAACCAAGCATAAAGTAGTAGGTTATACAGGGAATTGTCTTGAGCTGGTGTTTCTGAGTCATACAAACAGCAGGGTGATTATCATTTTTCTTTTTTTCAGTTAAAAATAAAAAAAACAACAACAAAAAAAAGTCCAGTTATTTCTGATTTCCTTCAAGTAAATGACCCACAATAAAGTGAAAGAACCTTCTAAAAGCTCACGAACACTGACTGGTGTCTTTTATCTGAGGACGGGCTGCTGCGGTCACTGCTGCTGCGACGGGCCCAAGAGGGAGCGCGTTTGCAGCAGCTCAGTCGACGCCTGTCCTTTCTTTTCTTCCTCTTCTTGCACCCTTCATCAATCAGATTATCAACCAGGATTGTGCACGTCTCTTTTCATCCCCCCTCCCTCCCCCAACATACTTCCTTTGAGATGTTCTGTGTGGTAACTTATTCCTGAACTGAAAAGGAAAACCAGCATTTACATTCCAGTGCCAAATTTGTAAATTTTTTTCCCCCCTATGAGAGTCCAGAGGAGGAGGTCAGAGTTCACGTGAACAGTTGAACAGTGGGGTGTTGCTGTTGTGGGAGTGTCTTTTAAAATTCAATTGTTTTTGTCTAAGAAAAAAACAAAAAAAAGTGGCAATATAACCAGACTTTACCGCTCGACACACATACATAAATCATTAACAATTATTAATAATAATCCCTTATTAATAATCATTAATACCTTGAACACACACCATACCTGACAACAGTTTTTTTTTATCATCTATTTTTTACAGTAAAAGTGGGCCCTTTTTCTTCTCGCAGAAAAATGTGAACATGATTACAACAACAATTACATCAGGATTAGTTATGGTAATATTGACACCTATAGAAAATGCAGTTGGAGTCGTCGCTCTAAACCTTGAATTCAATACTCATTTGAATATATCAAAATTACTATCATTATCTTTGTTACTCTATAAAACCAATGACTTGTTTTTGTTTTTAATATTCCCATAAATATGTACAGTAAAGATCAAAAATGTGGGACGAGTGATCTTAAATGCCAGTGAAACTTGGACAGGTACGGTACATTTCAAATGTGTTTGGTCATGTTTACAAATGTTTTTTTGTTTTTTTTTTGTACATCTATCTCATGCATTGGAGTGACTCCCGTAGACACCTATGTTGTTTAGATATTCAATATGTCATGGATGCCGGAAAGCTTTTTTTTTTTTTTTTCTTTTGTATTTTTACATGTCCACACAAACGTTTCTCTCCTCATCCCAGCTGCATTTTTAGAACAGAGTCTCTTGCCTTTACAAACATTCTGTGTATTTGTATTCAGATTGAAATCATCTTGCAGTCATCAAATAAAAACTTTGATGGCACGACATCCCTTTAAGAACCCCTTAAAGGCATTGGTGACGTTCCAAGCAACTTGTTTTTGTGGTTTTCTTTTTATACACTTAATACAAAAAAATCAACAAAAACATCAACAGTTGTAAATCAATAAAAAGTGTTTTTCCAAACCCCCCCCCAGCAGGCTGGAGACTAAAGTAACCCATCTTTTATGATTCTCCCCCTTTTTCCCTTTCTGGAGCAGAACTTACGAGTGCTTGCTAGATATATCTGGACACTACAGACTACATACAAGTACATACACAATGCAAAATAAAACATAATTTTCCTTTATTCCTCCCCCTGTCCTCTCTCTTTCTCCATTCCAGCATAGAACATCATAGAAGAAGACACGGCTGCCGTCCCCTCTCTCTCTGCAGCTCTGGGAGGAAAAAAAAGGCAAAATATCCCCCTCCTTTCACGCTTCCTGTCTCACTTTTATCCAGGCGGTAATAAAGATAGAAACATTAAACACAAACCTCCTTTTTTTAAAATCTAATACCACCATAATCCAGTGGTATTAAAGGTGGTTACATTCCTCCCTCCCTCTTTTATACCTGTGAGAATGGGAGAAAACCTCTCTACCCACCCTGAGTCTAAAGAAGCAGGGAGCAGCTCAGTATTGTCAGCTTGTCCTCTCTCTGCCTCTGATGTTGACTGATCTCTTCGCCTTTCTGTGCATTAAGAGGAAAGGGTGATGTCCCTGAATCCTCTGCATTTAAGCTATTCTGAGAGATCAGCCCAAGAAAGGACACAAGGAAAGGTGGCAAGCTGAGAGTACTGAGATGCAACCTGTGATAGCTACCTTCCTAAAATCACTCCCACCCTTCATGCTACCACCCTGTCCTCGCTCTTCCTCACGCCGTCTAAGAGTAGGAGAGGTGGGAGCCGTTAGAGATGTGTGAAGTGACTGAGGTGCTTCGGCTCAGGACGCCGTCGCTGCCCCCGGCTCCTCCAGGCCCCCCGCCGGATGCCGTCCTCCTCAGAGGCTGGGGGCTGTTCCTCAGGGCCATCAGGCTGGGGGCACCACGCACATTCAACCCGCCGCCGCCGCCGTAGATCCCCCCCTGCGAGGAGGAAGAGGAAGAGGAAGAGGAGGACGGGCCGGATATGGAGGGAGGGGCAGGCGGCGGGGGAGGTAGCATGGCCAGGGACTGAGAGGAGGAGCGTGAGGGCAGGTGATGGGAGAAGGGCAGGGGGTGTGGGTGGGCCAGGTCACCGCCGGAGCCTCGCACTCCGGCCCACTCCCGCTCCCTCTCCTTCTCCCGCTCCCTATCTCGATCCCGATCCCGCTCACGCTCACGGTAGAGCTGCGGCGTGCTCTGGTGGTGGTAGTGCTGGGGGAGGTGGTGGCGCTGGTGGTGGGACGAAGAAGAGGAGGAGGAGGAGGAAGAGGAGGCGGAGGAGCGGGACGAGTGGTGCACCTCCCT